TATTATGACTTCATCTCGTAATGTTACGACTTTATTCTCATAATATTATGACTTTATTTCATACGACTTTAATCTTGTAATATTACAACTTTATTCTCATAAAATTATGACTATTTCATATGACTTTTATGTCGTAATATTATGACTTTATTCTCATATTATGACTTCATCTCGTAATGTTACGACTTTATTCTCATAATATTATGACAATTTCATACGACTTTAATGTCATAATATTATGACTTTATCTCGTAATGTTACAACTTTATTCTCATAATATTATGACTATTTCATTTGACTTTTATGTTGTAATATTATGACTTTATTCTCATATTATCACTTTATCTCGTAATGTTACGACTTTATTCTCATAATACTATGACTTTATTTCATACGACTTTAATCTCGTAATATTGTGACTTTATTCTCATAATATTATGACTTTATCTCGTAATATTACAACTTCATTCTCATAATATGACTATTTCATATGACTTTAATGTCGTAATATTATGACTTTATTCTCATAATTTAAAAATTTGTTGTGTGGCCCTAATACTCCGTCGTACCTTACAGAGTTGGAGCGGACATTTTTTATTTCACTCCAGGAAAATTCTCAGAGATCTCTGTTTAGAAGAGCTCAGTCCTAAGAACAGCTGAGACACTGAACAGAACAGAACCCTCAAGCTGAAATGGAACCACTAGGTGAAAAATAGGTGGGATGGGTGTTTTAAATATAACTTATATATTCATTATACTTTGTTTTTCTCTTTTTGCGTTTTTGTTTCTACTTGGTGATTTTATTTGCGCACTGTACGGCATCTGCCCAACATAAAGTTTGGCAGATTGAATTGTGCCCGGAGACCTTTCTGGGTAGAGTTTGCATGTTCTCTCCGTGCATGCGTGTGTTTTCTCCAGGTACTCTGGATTGGTAACTCTAAACAGTCCCTAGGTGAGAGCGTGAATGGTTGTCTGTCCTCATGTGGTCATGTGATGGACTTGCAAAGTGTCCAGGGTAGACCCTGTCCCTGGCGCAGTGACTGTTGGATATGGGCACCAGTGGCCCACTCTGAAAAAGAGAAGTGGGTAAAAAGATAATGGATGTACGGATTGTGTTTTGCGTCTCTTCAGTGAAAGCTCGTTTTTATCAGCTTTATAATGATTTGTATTTGTCTTTGACATTTATACGATTTTATATATTTTTATTCACAAAATTGAATAATAAGAGTAAAAAAAGTAATATATTCACAGACAAAAAAAATAACATTTTTATATTAATGTTGTCAGCCACATTGTTAAAGCAGATTTCGTGTTGAAGCTGATATTGCCGAGGGGCAGTGAACGCACCACAGCAGGCTGGTTGTAAACCAGGACAAGTCCTCATCCCAGAGACCGAAACAACAGACAGGGACACGGAGGGTGGAGTACAGGAAGCTGCTGGCCCTCAAATCTCACCATGGCCGAAATCTAACCACTACAAAACTCTCCGTTTCTGTTTATCTTCGGGTTTTTTTCCCCCCCAAACTGCGGATAATCTAGGCGACATTTTTTTTCTGGATCGGTCGGAGATTGAATCGAGGAGCTCATCATGTCTCGGGGAGTGATCCAGCCCAGCCAGCAGAAACTGGCGGAGAAACTCACCATCCTCAACGACAGAGGCGTCGGGATGTTGACCCGTGTTTACAATATCAAAAAGGTTCGCACACACACACCAGCACCACTGTGATGAGGGCAGAAATGAACCGACAGTGATTTATTTATTTCTGTGGGGGACTGCTGCAGCTCTGCTCTCATTAGCATGTTAATAAAATACAGATAAATGTGCACGGACTGCCGCTTCACTGGGTGTGGGAGCTGCGTAAATATTTCTCTAGTATGTTCTGTTACCATCCACAGTAACTGAACATGGTGTTTATCCTCGTTAATAAACTGAAATATGTCACTGCAGCATCTCTGGTTGTGGGCACAGAGCTAGCATAGCTGTCGCGTTAGCTTGCGGTAAACCTCCCCTCTGGTTTTAGGGGCTCAGTGGGATTTTAGTCCAGTTTAAACCAGTTTAAATGTGTTTATTTTAATCAGTGTTTACACATAAATCATTTTAAACCACTAGTGGGAATTAAGAAAAGGAAATTTCCTCAAACCTTCAGGCCTTCGATGATGCTAACAGCTAGCTAGCGTCGGCTGGTAATGGCGGCGCCTCCTGGCTCATGAAGCAGTCGGGCGTCGTCTCTCTGCTCCACCAGAACCGCAACACGAAGGTCCAAAACACCCAGAGACACGAACAGGTCCGGCCGATAGTTTGGACGTGCGAGGCAGACAACACTGGACTTTATTTGTTTATTCTCCAACCAAGATGGCAGCTAGCAACATTAGCAGCTTTAAAATATTTTTAATTTGCTTTTAGGTTTGACGTGGACTCAGTTTCCCCTCGTTATTAATCAGTCTGCTTTATTATCTATAAAACAAACAGCTGCAAAATATTAAACATGATTGATTGATCTGTTTTTTCTGTAAGTTTTATATAATAAATATGTAAAGATGCTCCCACTCACCTGACATCAGGTGTTTTATTTATCTTCATCTAATCATAAAGACTGGAAACTTTAATATTAACGTGTTTTAAGGGTAAGTATTTAAAAATTCAAAGTATTTCATTTGTAGTGGCAAAAAGGACAGAAAGATTAAACACTTAAAGCTGCCTGTAAGATTTTGTAATACATTTTAATGTTTTTTGGTAATAAGGTTTTGCAGTAATTAAAACCCCACTGCTGAGACAAACAGGAAGTGATGACAAAGGGGAAAGCTTGCAGGTAACAGAGCGTTGCTACAACAGATAAATAATCTGATGTTTCTTCTAATTATTTTTTTATGAAAGGAAGAGTCACTGATAATAAACTAAAATCAGAAAGTTCCCCTTCGATGTCACGTCCTGTTTCACTTGGCCGAGCCAGATTCCACAAAAAATGTGCAACGAAATATGTGAAACGTGCGTTTTTGTAGGAAATGCATATCACAGGCACTTTAACGTCCCCAGTTTTATTGTTAACCACACTTCTAACTCAGTTAGGACTGTTTTACCCCAAAATAATCCATTCCATTAATTCACTCTATTGTTTTCTTATATCAAGAGTTTAATTTTTATGCACTAGAAAAATATTTTGTCTGAATTTGGTTCAGATTTTCTACAAGGATGAGAGTACAGAACTACAGACATGTTTAATGGAATTAGGCTGTAAACAAATCTACACACACACACACACACACACACACACACACACACACACACACACACACACACACACACACACACAC